TTTATTTTACAATTCAAAGCAAATTTTTGGTAAGTGTAAAAAAAAATAAATAAATAAAAAATTGATTTAAATTCTCCAAAGAGTTCTGCATATAACTAATATAAACATTAAACAGTACAAAAATTAATTTCTCAAAATTTCATAAAATAAGTGGGGTAACATGATTTTACCAAAATTTTCTGGAGAAAAAAAAATAAAACAAAAAAACAAACCAAACATTTCTAAAATAATTTGAATAAGCACAGAATGTTTCATTAAAATTTGACAATTATTTGATTTTTGCATGAATTTCCAAACCAATGTATTTTTCACCACAAAAAAAATGAGAAAATTTGCTATACTAATCTTTGGTCTCCCACTTGACACGAGAAAAACATTTTTAACCAAAATTTTGAACATTCTAAAAAGGTTACTTACATTATTCAGACAGTTATCCTCATCTTATGCCATATTCAAAACGTTTCGGCTGTTGTATGCTCCAGCCTTCTTCAAGTGATTGGAATTTCAAACTGAACCCTTTATTTCATCCACCAGGGTAGATTGTTCTAGTTTCATACAATGGCATACAACGACCGAAATGTTGTTGAATATGGTAATGAAGATGAGGATAACAGTTCGAATGATGTAAATAATCATAATACCTCATCTCAAAAATTTAAGCTGATATCCTGAAAGGGAGAATAAAAAAAACAATTTAATAATCAAAAATTCCTTTTGCCTTTCCTCTTAAAGATTTTAATGATAAAACTTATTATGTTTGGGGCATTTTTTCATCATGGTATGCTCATTTTTTAGCAAATCTATGGAGGTATCTAATTTAAATTAACAGATTTACAAATTAAAACACTTTTCAAATTTTCTATTTTTAATCCACTACTTCAACTAATAAAAAAGGAACAAACAATAGCGAGAAAGCAAAACAATCTTAATTAAATTATTCAATATAAGCATTCCTATAGCAAAATAAGTAAATATTCTAATTTTATAAATTAAATAGAAAACTGAATATAAAAGAACTTAAAAAGAAAATAAAAAGAACATTACAAAACAGAAACATGTTTTTCTTGCTATTGATAAGAGCAAGTTTAAATATAATCCTGAGAGTGTCAAGCATTTTTGTCAGGAAATAGATCAAAATAATAGAAAAATATTTAATCTTGATAATTTCTTTGCCTTTTTTATCAGCAGATAAATCTGCTTTTATCTGGTGATTCATATATGCAACCCTGCTTCATTCAGTAAAGTGGCAAGGAAAGAAAGAGCTTTCAGTGCTGTAATTTGCTTCGAGTCAAAGCGATAAAAAAAAAGGAACAATCAAACCTGCTGATTTAGGAATGAGATCTTCAATGAAAAACAGTCTTTATTAAACCTTTCTGAATTTGAAAGGTAAAATAATCTAAGAATTCTTCTTCAAACAAGAGGTATTCAATGAATGCTTGATTTAACTAACACACTGAAACTTTATTATGCACTGATGCTAATGCAGGACAATCTCAAACATGAGTACAGGTTGAAAAATCAAAGAATTTCTTGTGGATTTTACAAAAAAGCATCCTCACAAAAGGCAAGAAGGAGAGAAAGGGTAAACATACACATATATAAAAACACAGTGTGTGTGTGTAACACTTTTCAGAGTGCACAGATAATAGGTTGATCTTAAAGTGCAGATCCATACACAAACAATCATGCACTTTGCTAGCAAAAAGATATATCTTCAAGTGGGCAAATCTGATTTTCAGCAATTAAGAAACAGACTGGCCATAGTTTATTTGTGGTATTTCAAGGATAATAAAATCTTTTTAATAACTACTTGTGCCTTTTTAAAATCTACATTTCCCCCTCTTCCACAAAAATGCAATTGTAAGTTTTTAGCATTTAGACAAACCTTGCCATATTTCCACATTAAAATATTCATGCAAAAAGGTAGAAATCTGTTAAATTTTGCTTTGCATACATGAAATGAAAGTTTAACAAGCTGAAAATGGAAGATTAGGAAATTAATACATAAGTGCTAGTCTCTAAACTTCACTCAAGGACATTTTATATAGCGTTGCTGATCTTTTAAATATCTGCCTCTGAAAAGGCATAACAAACTTAAAGATTAACTATGAAAAAAAGTACACATTTGAATTTATTTAAAAATAGAACATTTAGCTCAATGTATGTGTACAATGACAAGTTAAAAATTAACAATTAACATGATTGTGTGCAAAGGCGAGAATTTTGCTTTTCTTTTTAAGATCAAATACAACGCCAGTAATAAAAACGAAAAGAAAAGGGCAATCAATGTATCATGCAAAGCAAAACTATTTCCGGGTTGTATTTTTTTTTTTTCTAAGTATTACTGAACATAACTTTTTTTTATCTTGATTCTTGGTAATAGAAATAAGCAGGATAAATTATTGTTTTAAGAAGCTAATTTTCAAAATTTAATTTACTTTCATCTCTTGTTTATGACAAAAAACAGCATTCCAAAAAGGTTTTAACTTTAAAAAGCATGTTTGGAGATCAAAAATAATAAAATTATTATTGCAGATCTTCAAATGAGGCAGAGATCTATTTCTCATGAAGGTTATCAGGTATAAGATTCCTCCCCAAAATGCAATTTCTTAGATATTTGCTGTGAGAATTATCAAAATGCCATCAGCTCTCTCTCTCTCCCGAACGACTGGGCCGAGTAGAAGTAAATTAGCAACATTCAAAGATTCGCTAAAAAACATGATGAAAAGATGCACAAAAAAAACTTAAGAGGAAAAACCAAAGGATTTTTTTATGTAAAAATTATTTTTAATACTTTTTTTTTTTTTTTTTTTAAGAACCTTTGACATTTTGGTTAAAAATATCTCGTTTTAAATTAATTTAGTTAAATAAATTGTAGATGAAACTTTAAAGATTTATTTACAAATGAATCAAATTAATTTTGAAACGTTTCTTTTTTTTTTCTTCTTCTAAAGAAAATCTTGGTAAAATTATTATTTATTTTTTTTTTTTACATCTGTTACCCACCCACCCCAAATCTTATGCAATTTCTAGAAAATACATTATTTTTTTTTATAATGCTTCGGCTTAAAATTAGTTAAGGACAAATCCTAGGAGAATTTTTAAATAATCATTTTTATTTACTTTGCCAAACTAAACAGAACACCCAGTTACAGAAAATCTGCTCTGAATCGTAAAATAAAAAATACGATAAAAAAATGAGTGCGCGAAGACACTGAAAAAAAATTGTTTATTTACTGAGACAATCTCTTTCCAATTATTAATCATCGAATGACAAATAAAATAAAGTTCATAACCGAGTTTTCAAGCATATCAATTTAGAAAAAAAAAATTATATAGCAGCAGTTTAAAAGTTCATTTAACAAGCAATATTCTAGGATTTTTCTTTTTTTTTTTTTTTGAAGAGGTTCTTTTTTCTGTATTAGTTACTTGGTTTCAGTGATTAAAAAAGAATTCAAAATATTTTGTAAAACCTACGAAAACGTTAAAAAACGATAATTTACAATTTATTTAAAAAAAAATGTTTAGACAAACAACAAATTTGTGAATGTGAACATAGAAGAGAACTTTAGTTGGCGCAGACAGAATGACTGAATAATAATATTTAATAAATTTACTTCTTTTTTTTTTTTAAATTAAAAATTAATTACTATTTAATTTAAAAAAAAAAAAAGTAAATATTATTCAGCATCTCCAACATGATAAAAGATAAAACAAAGCGATACAACAAGATTGTCTACAGGAATCAGCGAATACATTGAAGATTTTCTCTTAGTGTATGTTGTCTAGAAAACAGATCCCCAGTCCCTGACTAAGTTAAAATTTTTGTTTGTTTTCAAGTTTTTCTATAAATATTCCGAGAAAAAGTTAATTTTCTTTACTTGACAAAAACAAAAACTGTCATAAGTCGAAAAGAAAAAAAGAAAAAATCAACACTTTTCTTTTCAACTCATTTCAATATAAACCAAAATATTCAAAAAAGAAGAAAAAAATAGAATGTCATTAGATAATTGAAGCAAGAGCAAGCAATGACGAACAGGCGCCATTATTTCTAAATTTTTTTTTTTTTTACAGAACTTCATATTGCAATTTATGTTTTAAGCGTACGTAGAACTTTAAAAGTGTGTATGTGTAGGAGAGGATATAACATACTGACAAAATCCCGAGAATTTGATTTTAATTAAGTACGTTTCATAAAACAGATTAAGATCGTAAGAAGGTAGCTTATCGTGTATCTGTTGACAAAATAAACGTGTTATTGGTAAAGACAAGGCCAAGGGGTAAGTGACCCTTTCCCTTCTAATCCGAATAAGAGGCTTGTCATCAGAATTGTTTTATTTTTCTTATGACACTTTGAAGATATGGCCTGTCAAAAGTTTTATTTTTTTTGCAATATTATGTACAATTAAAGTTTATTATTATATATATTAAAATAAAAACGAAAAATAAATAAATGAAAAGAAAGATTTATAAATAAGCCTTAAAAAGTGGAGTTCTAAATCACGTTTAATAATAAATTAACTGCATTAATTTTTTTTAATGAATTTATCTCTTTAAAATAAATGTAACCAGCCAAACTAAAATACTGTACTTTAAGAGTAATTTGCAAAAGGTTAATCTTTATTCGCTTTTTTTTGTAGTTCGAAAACAGTGGCACAAATTCAACATGCATGCAGGTCATTATTGATTGATCCTTAACATTAATAACATTTGTTTATAATTTTCGATTTAGGCAATACCGATCGACATTTTAACTTAATTAATACTTTCAAACCAACTAAGAACAAATGGCATGCAATATATTCCCAATTCGTTTTTTTTATTATTTCGAATTCCTCAAACACAAAAAATAATGGAAAAAAGAACGTTTACTTTTTTGATGCTTTCTTTTTCTTTCAAATCATCATTGTCATAACATTCCACAAGTTAGCTACAAGTTTGTGTTTAAATCTACTAATGGAAAAACATGCTACAAAAAATAAACAAATTAATCACCTTACCTTTCTTTTAATCCCAAAATTTAATATAATTCCCAATGAACTAATTACATACAAGAAAAACAGAGAGCAAATACAGCTCACACGGCGTTTAAGTTAATGTTACATCGGCCATGATGCCTAATAAAGCGTCATATAAAAGACCAAATTTGATTGGTTCTTGTTCAACTAATTTCGACTAATCAAAATTGCTTTTATAAAATGTAGAAAACTACTTATAATTTTTTCCAAAAAAAATTATTGAACTAAAAAAGAATGTTTTGGGGGGTATAAAAATATATAAAAAAAATATTGACTTTAAAAAAAGTGTAAATTTGACCATTTCTCGTCACAAAAATCAATCAAAATTAATCTTTTTACATTTGTTTAAATTAAAAAATAAAATATAAATATAGGTATATATGTCAAAAAAATTAAGGTAAATGAATTACACACACTTGACATTGTTTTTAACATTATTTTTGCATACCATAAAATTGATAGAAAAAGCTATTGGTAACACTTTAATTTTATTATTTACTGTCTATGCTACAATTATTATATGGTTTTTCTCGTATACAAAAAATATCAGTTACAACTCTTTAAGTGCACAATAAAAAGTGGACTCAGTGTGAAATCAAAACACAAAGAAATTGTTTACAATAATTCTTATGCAAAAAGAAAAATGAATGTATAGGCTGTTGCTTGAAATATTCTTTTGAGAACCTAAAAAAATTAAGTTAAGTAGAGAAAATATTAATAAAAAAAAGAGTGGCCTTACAGTAGTAGCAGAAGTTATAAAAGTTGTTAGAGAGAGTAAAGTTTCAGCAAAATTCATGAAGTTCTCAAGCAGTCCTTTGAAGACAGAATACATATGAGGCATTCTGGGGCTGGTAATATCAATATAGTATTATCCTTCTTGTTGAATGGAAGAAGTTGCAAAATAAATGTTGTTTGTAGAAAACTTTCAGAAGTTGGTACTGCTTTGTAGAATTATAATTGAAGAGAGTGAGTGAGTTGTTTCTTATCAAGGAAAACTTAGCCTGGTTGTGCATTTGTTTAAAAAATAAAATGTTCAAAATTATCTGTTTTTATGTTTTTGCATATTGTCCTAGAGTCCTTTGTGAGTTACAGGTATCTCAGAACTGTCGGAGTTAACTCCTCCTTCAGTTCGTAACCCTTTCACCAGGGGTCTCTCTTTCCTGGCTATAAATAGCCAATGACCCTTTGCCTCGATCTCTTTTTTCCTTTCAGGCCTGTGCACCAACACCTCAAGGTAAATTTCTCTTATTCCTAGAGGATTTCAACTATCAACCTCGAAATGTAGTCGCTAACAAGGAATAGCGTGGAAACACGCTAAGCACAATATACACACACGCACGCACACACAGAATATTCACACATGCACGCACATACAGAATATTCACACACACTTCGTCCTTTGTACTGTTTCCATGTATTGTAACTTGTTAATAATATATATTTGTATATACATATATTATCGGTCTTGTTTTGTTTGCTTTCTTTTCCTTCTTCTTTGGACTTAATCAAAGTCCAACCTTTTTATGTAGTTGGGCTCGGCAGGCAGGAGTATCTGAACCTTGTGTTTCTTCTACGTTTGACTTCTATCAACAACAAGTGGCAACCGCCATTCCCACAACAAACCGTAACCGCCACGGCCCTCTACAGAACCTAGTGACCTCTTTTCTTAATTTAGTTATTTGCTCTGCTGACTTACATCTCTCCATGATTATTGATGCTGTTTCAACCAGTAAAGGGCATTGATACCAAGATCAAGTTCTAGAGAACTCTAATGGAAACCTTCTTTTTTTTCTCAGGAATCAATGGGAGTTGGACCTGCCAAATTTAGTGGCATGTGCAAAATTCATGGATAAAAATTTAGCAACACTCTTAAGCAAAGAACAAAATTAGAGCAATTATACAAAATAAGTCTAACTCAGACCACTTTCACAATTCACAATTTGTAAAAACATTTCTATATACACAGGGCCAGATTTACATGAAAAGAGGCGTTAGGCTAATCCACTTGTGAGGCCCTAGGCTAATCCACTTGTGAGGCCCTAGGCTAATCCACTTGTGAGGCCCTAGGCTAATCCACTTGTGAGGCCCCTCCAAATACCCCATTCTCATGATTAAAGGAAAATGGAAAAGTGTTGAATTAAACAATTTGAGTGAAGCTGAGGATGATGATGGATGTGTAATGGTTCCTTTTAAGAAAATAAAGTAAATGGCCAATCCAGAGATCTCTTTCACAGTATTGTGGTAACCAGCATGTGTCAGGTTACCTCCTCCTAATTTTCAAAACCACTACTAGGGGATACTCTCAGGACTGTAAATATTGTGCAATAATTTTTTATCATTTGCTTCTGATCTTATCCATCAACATATAACCTCTTGCAGAGTACATGTTCCCTTTGGGAAATGCATGAACAATTCATACACACACACGTGCATACACACATTCACTCACTACACATATTTTGGACCAAAAAGGTTTTCACATTCATTTGACACACACATCTTTGTCTTAGTCCCTTGTAACCCTTTATTATCAATACATTATCATTTGTTTGTACATATATATTGGACTCACATCTCAAGTCTGCCATGTTTGTTGTAGGTATTTTAGGAGACACATCTGTATATCTCTCAGCACATACACCAGCCTGCAACCCATGTAATGAGTCCTTTGATTGGTCAATAGACAAGCCAATCACAGTCCTGCTTCATTTCCACTTTAGTGAACATTTTAGAAACTATCTCTCCTTTGACAACTGACCCCAAGTGTGATAAAAGCAGTAAAAATGCACCAAGCTGTAAAAATGCACCAAAGTAGTAAAAATATACCAATCTGCTTTCTCACCAATGATGTGGAAAGGTCAACCGAACGTGTATGTACCATTTAAATAAATATCTCTAATTATTAGATATATATATTTGATATTTCATGTTATTTTAATTCCTGTTTATCTTGTTGTGGCTCATTATTAGAAGTGGACCCACATTGTGTATAATTGTAACAGTGTCTGCAACAGGTGTTTAAAATTACTAAAGGGTTATTTAGAGTCTACAATGCATTATGATAGCATGTGTAAGAAAGTATATGACAGTGCCAAAAATATTATACACATTGGCTGGAGTACCCTTTCTCCCCATTGATTTTGAGGGCTGAAGATTCAGCATGCTAAGCTTATAGGTAAATCTGGCACTATACATACACAAAACTATCACATAAAATATTTTCTCACTGACATTATTCACTTGCACATTTATCTATATTTCTGAGATGAGGTAATGTAACTATTTACATTGTTTGGACTATTGTCCTCATCTTTATTGTTATATTCACAACATTTCAGATGTTGTATTCTCCACTCTTCTTCAAGTGATATAAGTTGGAATTTCAGACCAAACCCTTTATTTCGTCCACTGAGGTAGACTTGCTGTTGGTGGTATATTGGCCCACAAACAGATATTGAATGACAGAAGACAACAACAAACAAAATTAAGACTTGAGTAAAAAAAATATATTGCCAAGTTTATTTTCGTTAAAGAAAATACATCAACAAAAATAAGGTTACAGTGAACTAGGCAATGGTGTAAAGGGTGAGAAAAGTGTTGTCCTGAAAAGGACAGTTTTGTAGTTCTGAAAAGGACAATTTTATGCGTACCGTTATTGCTGGCAAAGATGTGTGAAGTGATGACTGTATATTTATTGTATAAAAATACAATTATGGCACAAGGTCGAAAAGGGGTCGAGGCTGGTCTTCACTATCTTATACCTAGCTAATCCGATTCATAACCCATTCACTCGTTACAATTTACACATTCACCACAAAAACTCATCCGTCACCAATCAATCCTCCATACACCATAATACCGCATCCTTTCAGGGAGACCTACAAAATGCACTCCAAGATTTAAAAATTTGGTGATAACAAATATTCCTAGATAAAATTTAGCATATGACAATGAGAATGGAGAGGATGAACCCCAAAACATAACTGATGTTAGTAAGACCCATCCATAGATGTCTGGTTGTCAGCTGCTGCTAGAATAGATACTACACTTTGATCTACACCATCTTTACCGTCAAACACTTTTTAATTTCTGCTTTTGAGGCTTTTTAGATTCTGAATCCATCTTACAATAATACTGGTTAAGCTTTTTCTTCTGGTTGTTTTTTAAAAAATGTAGGAGTGTCAACAGGATATGACAGACTATCCTAGTTCTACAAGCCACACATTTTCTGGATATCTCAGTTATTTCCCTTTAGTAACTCAATTCTCCAAGTTTTTGTTCATCTCTGCTGAAGCCAGGTATTGAACTCACAACTGTTTGGGTCAAATCACTGGATTACTTCAACCAACACTTTTATCCACTAAGCCATGCATCATTGGGGACATTAGCAAAATAAGGAAATTCTTGTTGCTTGATAAACCCTGTTTAGTTCTTTTATCACTTATTTTGACAAAAAAAATACAAGCTCACCTTATTCATTTTGCCTTTTCTTTCTCTCCATCATTGCTTTGCCTTCTCTTTTTCTACTTAGTTATCAACTACCTATTATTATATAACTGACTGATCAAGAAAGCTAATATGTAACATAGCAACTGTTATTTTCTCATTTTGCCTCTTCATAAAATTAGTGGCTACTGTCAACTAGTTTTTGGCTCCAATAATCTCTTTTTGGTATTTCTTTGATAAAAAAGCACCAAAAATAAAAGGAAAGAACTAATAAAAAAATTAATAACAAAAATAAAAGTGCTTATTTTTAATGTAAATAAGAATCCTTGGAAGATTCCATGAAAAATGCAAATAAATTGAATACAAATATCCTGTCATTTGAATCTTTTGCAATTTTTTATGAATTTTGTGTCCATTTTTTAAAAACTAAATTTAACTTAGTCTGGCACAACGTCAGCTGCATGAAGTGCTGAGTGAAAACTGGAATCATGGCATTAGTAAAGTCATCTGTAAAGCAAGCATATTAATCATTGTATCATGGGAGACACTCCCATACTTTTTTTTATAGAATAAAGTCTGAACTAAAGAAATAGAAAAATAAATTATATATACAATGATGAAAAAAATACAATTCTAAAAATGAATCAA